AAATAATTTTAAATCAAAAGGCAAAATCGAAAAAAAAATAAAAAAATACAAATCTCAAGCATGTAAGCGCTTCTTATATGTATACTAGTTTAAGAAGGCCCGTTCAAGGCACAAGCTATTATTATAGTATATTTAAATTTTGTGTTTTTGTTAATTTTTTAAAAATTAAAATATTGTTATATGAAATTGAATAGAATAAATCATTAGATATATAATAAAATTGTGTGGTATAGTATCTATCATTTTTTAATTTGTTAAACAACCAATGATGTATACTCCAATTTTATTATCATATCATTTTGAGTGAATTTATGAGTCTTTAACATTTTTTCCGAATTTACATATAAAAAAAAGTAATGGTGTGTAGCTTTTCTCAATATATAAATACAAAACAAATATTATGATAATTCTCTCATCTAAAAAAAACTACTAAGATAATTTACTGAACTAATAAAGAAATAAAAGAAAAAGAAAAAAAAAAATATATATATATATATATACAAACAACTAATTTTATTAATACATAAATCAAACTCGCATAACGAATGGCCAATTTTATGAATAAGTAAATTAACAATTTGTAATGACGTGACAACTTATAATGACGTTTTGGCTAAAACTATAAGTTGCGAAATGAGGCCTATAAAATATTAAGTTAATTAATAGTTTTTAATGATATGAGAAATAAATTTTAATAAACAATTTTGATAATTTATTATTGCATAGGAGAATTTTTTTTTTCTTGAGTATTGTTTTAAATGAAAATTTATAATAAACGGTAGTTATAATTTCTAATATTATAGAACCAATTTTTATTTTAAACAAACCTTATAGGTATATTTATAATTTGTTAAAAAATAAAAGATATATGTTTTATAATTGACTAAGAATATTTATGTAATTACGAAAAAACCTGTTTCATGATTGATCAAGAATGTTCTCGTAATTACAAAAAAAACTGTTATATAATTGACTAAGAATATTTGCATAATTATGAAAAAAATTTCATTCAATCTATAAGTCACCATTAATAAATTGTTAAAAATGAAAAGATAAAATCAAAAAAAAAAAAAACGAATATCTCAAACAATTAAGCGGGATTCTTATATATATATATATATATATAGATATAAACAACACATGCACACTTTTCTCTCTCCAAAAAAAAATCATCACAGATTCGTTTCGTTGCGACGCCCCGACATCGACCTTGCTCCTCCCACGCCTTCGATTTCTCCAAATAATTGACAGCAAGTCCGCCCTTGAGTTTTTTATTTATTTATTTATTTTTCATTATTAAAGTTTTCGGGGGAGTTGCTAAAAAATTCGCATTTTAGATGATGATAAACAAGTTATTGACTTGCTTTATTTTTTTAACCAAAAATTGTCTTTTTTTTGTAAAATCTCTAAATGACTCTTGGATTATATTTGAACTAGCATAATAACCCGTATAGATAAATAATCAAAAATTAATTTTTAAAATTAAATAATAATCTAAAAAATTTATCTACAATATTTAGCAAAAATGATTTAGAATCAATTAAATTTTATTTATTTTTATCACAGTTACATATAAGAGAATTTTTTTATTCTTATGTCATTAATTGTGTGCTCTAAGTTTTTAATAACAAATATATGTCAGAATTTAAGTGATAAAAATTAAAAAGTAAATCACAAAAATTATATTTATGATAAAATATAAATATATTTCGTCTTATGAGTTTCGTACATTTAATAGTAGCAAATTACATTTGTCAATATAGTAATTTTTTTCATATTTTGTGAAGTTTAAAAATTATAATTTGTCTTATGTTATAAGATTTACGTAAAAATGAATTAGGATTTACTTGTGATATTAAATTTGGGCTTAACATTAGATTTACGCCAACTTATCATTCACATAATGATTAAAAATTGTCTTGTTTTGTTCTCAACTTATATTAATCATTTGACCTATCTATTTATTACATTATTAAGTAAATATTTGTAAATATTTTTTATAATAAAAATAAGAAATATGGACTTATTTTATGCATACTTATTAAAAAGTTTGAACTGCAGTTTAAAAAAAAAAAAACTATATATTTATGTTTAAAAAAATTAAATGAATAGTTATATATATTTATGTATAAAAGAATTATTTAAGATAAAGTCACCCTAAATTGTAGGTCATATTATAGTCCTAATAAATTTAAATGTTATATTTAAATTATATAGTAATTTATCAGTTCGTGACTGATATGAGCTAATTTTAGGGGTTCTAATATTGGATTAAACACTGAACGGTAGCAAAGAAAATTTAGTTCACGTCGATTTTTTTTGCCAATAATTCTTGATTTAAGCCTAGTTCTTAGAGAATCGTTTAGTTCATGTCTAATCCATGAGTTAGTAGGCCTACCTATTTATTTAATTTTTAATTAGTAAATATATTTTAAAAAAAATTATAAAAAAATAGGAAATATGTACGTATTTGTTTGGTGTATTTATTAACAATTTCAAAATTAATTAAGAAATTATGTACTTATTCTTAAAAGGATAAATTATATTCGTAGTCCCTATATTTTAACTCTTGTGTTATTTTTGTCTTTACAATTTTAATTTTGCTCAATTTTGACCCTAAATTTATAATTTTGCCTCAAATTGGTCTAATTGTTATAATTGCTAGTGTTTTTTTTTAATTGAAAATACACACATAAGTAGCATCTGTTATATTTTTATAGACAAAATTATAAACTTGTTCAACTCAATAAGTTAATCTCAACCAACTCAATAACTATTTTCTTTCAAAAATCTTAACCGACATTATTAATTGGACCAAATTAATACAAAATCTAAAATTAAGGGAAAAATCAAACTAATTGAAATTACAGAGACCAAATTGACACAAGAGACAAAATGCGGGGACTAACGATATAATAGACCCTTTTTAAAATATGTCTAATATTGATAATCAATATTAAGATATATTTATATCTGAAAAATTATTTAAAATTAGATCAGACTAGAATCTGAATAAAAAATTAATGGCTCATTAACCATATTTAATAATTATAAATTCAAATTTGATCAATTTTTTATTTAAGTTTTTTCATAAAATTAGGTTGTTTGGTAATTTTAATTTATAGTTCCAATTTTCCCTTGTATTTTTTTAAAAATATTTTAAAATTATATATAATTATAATTTCTTTTGAAATTTCCTTTTCAATCTCAAATTAGTTATAACTTGAATTTGGTTAAAATTTATTTTTGATTTCTCATCTACAAAAACTAACAATAAACATAAATTAATTTTTTGAACATTGTAAAAAGGTAAATAAAGAAATATATTATCAATAATAATAATAACAAAACATATTTTTATTTATCATGTGATGCCTCACTACTGCATTGATAATAGATATTAATAATAAAATTCATTACGATAATACAACAATAATATATCAAATGATAAGTAACATGTGATCACAATAATTTTTGATAGTTATACAAAAGTACCCAAAATTATATATAAAAAATAATATATGATTTATATTCAATTTTTATACGGTAAAATTCACACTTAATCTTAACTACATATTAGTTGTCTAAATCAATTCATCACCCAAACTATCTATTTTAATATTCATCTTTTCAAAATCCACCCAAACAATGCTATGACCGAGCTTATCATCACCCTTGTTGTTGTCGTCACGCTCACCATCTCTACTAACCATTATACCGTTAGAGTTTTAAAGAGTTAAAAATGAAAAATAAAAAAATACATGATTTTAGGTTTTCCTATTCCATATATGGGTGTTAAATTTTTTTTAAAAATTTTTAAATCCATAAATTATTTAATAGTGTTCATTATTTAAAATTTTATTTATTGATGGGCAAATCAATTAAATGTTTTTAATTTTTTACAAATAAAAAATTTGAAAATTTTGTTTAACAAATTTAAAAAATGGCCAAATCATAAAGAACAATATAAGACGTTTTATTCTATAAAATAAAAAAATAAAAAAAAACTCATAACTATATTATCAATTCACATATATCAAAATAAATAATAACAACAATATAAAGTTTTTTTTTTTTTTTTATACTTTTTCTATATAATAAAGCAGGACGGTTTTTGAATCTACAACATATTTTTGTCCTACTAAGACATTTGGATGACTCAGATCTGTTCAAATTATAAAACAATGACTAAGATATATTTTTCAAAAAATATCCTACATGTACATTTTCTACTTTCCCGCTTTTCTCTCTTACTTTTTCCTTTTCTCACCCATCTTTCCATAATCCCACCTTCCTCTCTCTTTTCTTTTTATTTTTTTTATTTTCTCTTTTTTGTTCACTTCTTTTTCTTCATATTATATGAAAAATTCTACGATCCCAAAATTAGGAGCTAGATTTTACTTTGTGTAGTGGAGATTAAATTAATAAATTTTATAGTCCACAAATTAAATGAATTTGAACAATTAATTATTATTTTTAAATAAATTAAATACCTGATAGACTTCATAAATTTAGACCTTATATGAATCTTCAACATCTATATAATAAAGTAGGATGATTTTTGAATTTGTCCTACACACATTTGTCCTATTGTTTTTGGATTTTTGACTTAAGAAACTAATCAATAGATTTTTTTTTAAAAAAAAAAATTAACAAATTAACAAAATTAGTTTGGGGGTTTGGAGCTTTTACAATCATTATTCTTAAAAAGATCCTTTTCCTTATATATATAGATTATAGATTTAGATAGAAAAAAAAAAAATCAATAGATAAAATATAATTACATTTTATTATTTTTTTAAAAAATTTCTTTTCAAATCCATGAGGCAAACACAATCATAAAAAATACACATGTGACTCACTTGTTTATGTTTAGAGGTGAAGAAAAAAAAGAGGGAAAAAAAAAAAATTATACCTAACATATTTTTGTTCTTAATAAATATAAAACTAAGAAATTATTGTTTATATTTTCTTGGTATCCAAGTTTATTCCTTTTAGTGATTCTACTTATCCCTTTGTTGTTCTGTCAACCCTTTCCCTTTCTCCGGATGTCTCTATGCTCTCAATATAATCTCTCTGTCTGGAAAGCTTTACGCAGTCAACGATCATCAACAGAGGAAGAAAATACAAATAACAAAAATGATGAGCCACACTCACAATCACAATCACCATTCTACTTATTCTTCCAAGAAAATGCAGAGATATACTCAGGATTATGTTGAGGCTCTTCAAGAGGAGCTTCACAAGATCCAGCACTTCCAACGCGACCTTCCTCTCTCTCTGCATCTTCTCACTCAAGGTTTTTAAATATCGATTGATATCAAGATTTTAAATTATTGATCACAATATTTACCGATATACTGATAATTAATAGTCTGGTGTAGGCCGGTATATGATCAATAATACGATTATATCGGTTGATGTTAGATAATATGAAATATTGATAAATATTGATATTGTATAATATCGATTTATATTAAGATTTTAAATTGTTGATCACAATATTCACTGATATATTGATAATTGATTGTCTGATGTAGGCCGATATATGATCAATAATACGGTCATATATTGGTTGATGTCAGATAATATGAAATATTGATAAATATTAATATGATATAATATCGATTCTGATATATATCAATATTTATCTAAAACCATGGAGCATACCCATTTGGAAATTATTGCATTTTCTCTATGATGTGTTTTAGTCTCTAAACTCTAATGGGTCTAATGGGTTTTTTGTGTGTGTTTGGAATTTGGATTTTGCAGCGATTGAGGCATGCAAGCAACAATTGTCGGGGACAACAACAACTCTTGTTTTGGAAGAATTTATACCCATTAATAGGACTTCCTCTTTTGATCAACTTCACAAACCCAAAGACAAAAACATAAAAAACAATGACATCAACTCTTCACAGAAATCTGAATGGCTTAAATCTGTTCAGTTATGGAATCAGACCCCCGATCCACTTACCAAACAGGTACTTAGTTTACTTTAATTTTTTATAAACTAGTAAATCTTACAAATTTTTCTTATTTTAGTTTTGATCTTAGAATAAGAAAAGAACAGAAACAATTATAGTCACTCATCTAAATTAGAAAAGAAAATAAATTATTATGTTTTCTCACCATATTTAGAGTGAAAAAGGTAGAAGTATGCCTATAGCTATAAGGATAAGGATAATTTTTTTTCCCCTTTATATTTTAGTGGACAATCTTGTGATTTATAAAAAAAAAATACACAATCAATCAATTGGTGTCACCCAATTTCATCATCTAAGTAAGAAATTAAATTTATAAAATAAGGGAATTCTCCTCTCTTCCTTTCACACTATTTCTCATTATTCTCACCGACTTATAAACCAAACATTTTAGAAAAAAAAACCCCTTTCCCTTTCTTTCTTATCATTTCTTATCAAATCAGTTCCCAAAATTTTATTATTGAATAATTCGTCAGTTAGTAAGAAAAAATTGTAAGATTTATTAATTTATATAACATTTTCCATTGATTTAATATTGGTAAAGGTACTTAGATTTAGGGTTTTGTTTAATTTGACAAAAAGTTTGGAAATTTATTGTCGTAGGACTCACCTAAAAACGCATCAGTCATAAGCAATAGTGGGGGTGCTTTTCATCCTTTTAATGGAGAGAAAAGTGTTGGGACAATTCATACAACAACAGCTAGGTCACCTTCTTCAGATTTGAATGCTGTGGAGGCGGCGGCGACTGCGACGTCAATGGAAGGAACAGGCTGCGATACTGGCGGCGGCGGCGGTGGCGGCGGTGGCGGTGCTGGTGCTGGTGGGAGTAAGAAAGAAGAGAAGGGTCGGAGGAGAAAGGAGAGGCGGTACTGGTCGCCGGAGTTGCATAGAAGGTTCTTACATGCCCTACAACAGCTGGGTAGTCCTGATGGTTTGTATCCCATCTCAAGCATTTGATTACATTGAAATGTAATTGTTAGTTACTTAAATTGAATTGATTTGAGTTTGAAATGCATTTGTGTTTATATGTTGTTATTTTGAATTTGGGCAGTGGCAACACCTAAGCAAATTAGGGAGTTAATGAATGTTGATGGGCTTACAAATGATGAAGTCAAGAGCCATTTACAGGTTTGTATTTATTTCATTGTTTTCTATCAATTCATTCCATTGCTCTGAATGCATAGTTTTATAGAACAATTTTGCTATAAACACAATCTAATCACATAATCAAACAACACAACGAATTGAACAAGGTTTATTTAGGATTCGTTTGGGAAGTTGCTATTTTAGTAGGCTATTTTAATTTTTGACTATTTTAGTAGGGTAAAATTTTTGTGTTTGAGAAGATGATTGAATTTTTTTGTGGTTGGATGTGATGCTTGTGAGAGAACAAGTAAAATGATTATGGATTTGATGTGATATTTTGTCTTATTAACTATTTTATCTTATTTTATCTTTTTGTAAATTTTAGCCTAAACTAGGCTCTTTTTTTTTTTTTTTTTTTTTTTTTTTTTTTTTTTTTAATTTTGGCCCAAAATTTTTTTTTTTTTTTTTTTTTTTTTTTTTCTTGCCAAACATAGTTTCTTGGTAGAGTCTATTTTTATAAATTGTCTGCTTCTATTACGTTCTTGTGTCCGTGAACTTAGGTGCTATTTGATAAAGTTAAAAATTGAAAATTGAAAATTAAAAATTAAATATTGAAAATTGAATGTTGAATTTGTTAAGTTAAAAAATTATTTGATAAAAATTTAAATACTGAATTTAAGATTAAATTTGAAATTTATTATTTTCAAATTACATATTTTAATTTTTATATTGTGATGGTGGGGGTAGTGGTGGTGGTGATAGTATAATGATGGTGGTGGTGGTGGTGGTAGTGATGGTGGTGCCGGTGGCATGGTGTGGTGATAGTAATAGTGGTAGTGATTGTCGTCGTCCTAGTGACGGCGATAGTGGTGGTGGTGGTGGTGGTAGTAGCGAATTTATAATAGTGTATACTGATACTTATATTTAGTATTTATAAATTCAGTTAAAATTAAGTAAGTTTCATATGATTTAAATTTTTCTTAAGTTTTAACCTACATTTTAAGAGGCACTTAAATTTTTAAGTGATATTAAGGGGTTGTTTGGGATGTTATAAATAAGTACACTTTTTGAATTTTTATGAAATACGGGTTAAGTTTGAAGTGATGTAGGAGAGAGGTGATATGACTTAAATAAGATGATGTAACTTAAATAGGATAGTGATTTTTTGACTTTTTAACATTTTCAAAGGATGCCAAACATAGCCTAATTGTGGTTCTCGAACGAACTTAATTGATTATTATTTACAATAATGACCCAGACCCCCTTTTTTTCCCACCCCTTGACCCCCTCTTCACTTGATTGGCCACTTTTTTTTTTTTTTTTTTTTCTTCTCCACCAATCACCACCCGCCATGTGTGTGTGGGGTGGTGGGTGTGGTGATTGGAGGAGGTCTCAATCATGACCCTATTATTTAATATATTCAATTTTAAGTGTTGAATCATATTATCAAACTCTCCGTATTCTATATCAAATTATTATGTCTAAGCATGTCATTTCTGTTTGGTAGTACATCTTGTTTATTGGTGAGAGAATTACATTCAGACAATAGAAGCCCAAGAATCAATCTTGTAAAGAACCCCCATAATAGAGGGAAAAAATAATACTAATAATACCTAACAACCAAATTAACAAATAACCCCGTGTTGTCCAATAACTATAGAAGCCCAATAATCAATCCAACAAAAACTCTCATAATAGGGAAAAAAAAATATATCTATATATGTAACAAAACACAACAATTAATGCCTGAAACTTGGGGGTGTACCCCCTTCAAAGTTTCATATTCAAAATTTTTTAAGTGCAAATAATTTCTTCAGATCAGTCCATATAGGGTTTTGCCTTGATTATAATTGAAACTTTTGCCAGTAGACAGTGGGAATATTCCCCTAATTATTCAGTCCAATGGGCCGAATACGAAATTATGAAAAAACAAAACAAAACATATACGTCTATTAGGAGAGAAATTATCGATTTTTGTTTATAACATAGATTGACTCCCGACTTTTCAAATGTACTTATATATGAGTAGTCAAATAAGCTAGTCCAGTTAATTAAAAGGCATTACCATCTATGGATAAGCTTTTGTTAGTTTCATTGGAACATCAATTTGTTTCTTTTAATGACTTCCATTAGACAAAAAACATATAAATGCTACACTTGATCTTAGCCAAACTTTTAAGTAGCATGAATGGAATTTTGGTCCTATTTGGTTATGTTTTTGTTTTTTTGAATAGCACAAAAAACTTGTTTAGCAAATTGTTTTTGAAAAAAAATAAAAAATTGATACATTTTTTCCTTTTAAAAAAAAAACCAACAACCACATCTTAATAAACATCAAAACATTATTTTCAATGTTTCAAAAATTATTTCGTACAATGACCAGTGTTTTCAAAATTTCTATTATTTATTTCCGAAAACAGAAAAATAAAAATGAAGAAAACAAAAACAAAATCAAACAGGCTTGATGAAAAAGGAGGCATACTTGGCATTTTGCTACATAGCATGAATTATTATGGAATTACATTTAACCTTTTGCTTTACTTGTCAACAGAAATATCGTTTGCATACAAGAACTCCTTCAATTCACAATAACAACAATTTTCCACAAACACCCCAATTTGTAGTGTTGGGAGGATTTTGGGTTCCACCACCAGAATACACGATGGTGACATCAATAGCTGCACCACCAGCTCCGCTCCCATGAAAAAGTTTAGAAGTATAGAAACTAATCACATAACCTAACACAATTGTGTTCGGTTATGTGATCGGTTTCTGTATAAGTAAAAGAACTACGGCTCCCATAGACAACAACATGTCAGACACAGACGACAATAGCTTGCCACTAAAGTCTCAACAGCTGCTTAGCTTCGGTTGTGTGAAGAGTTATATAGAAATTTTGTTACAAACTCTTACTTGAATGTCTTATGTAATCCTCAAATACTAGAGATAAAACAGTATAGCAGAGAAAATTATAGAAATAATGGTGGGTCCTTCTTATCTCAATTTTATGTTGTATTTTTAAATTTTCTTTTTTTTTTTGGGTGTAACATTTAGAGGATGTTGGACACATTTGATAGTGATAGAAAGATATTGAAGTTGAATAAAATCCTACACTATGCTGGTTAATTTCAATAAGGGACATTAAAATAATTAGTGATGAAGCTTTTGATAGTATCAGTTGAAAAATTCATCTCTTTTTCTTTCTCTTTTTTATTTATTTATATTTACTTTTCACCATGAACTGTCAGAAAAATGTTTATTTCTTTTGCAATGTGATGATTTTAACTGTTGAACTGTGCCGATGATTTTTGTGAAGCAAATTAAGAAAAACAAGAAAAGAATAATGTTAATGACCATCTGAATAGCTATTATTACCTTAGGTGTATGTACAAAAAGTATATTGAACTTTATAAAATATATATATATATATATATAAATATGTTTTGAGATCTATAAAAAAATAGCTTAGGATTTTAATTTGTTGGCATTTTTCTCATTTTATTGATAATTATTGAACCGTCATCAATCGATCCCAAAATGAAATATTATACAAATAAAATTTTTGTACAAAATTTTCATGCCGCTTACAAGGATGGCACTTCATTAAGACAGTTGAGTATAGTGGTAATAAAATTGGACCGATAATGGGCCTAATTCTATTTTTTCTTTTAATTTTGAAATGTGTAAAAAATACATTGAAGTATAATTTTTTTTTTTGGGGGTCTCCTTATCAATGATCCATTAGACTATTATTAGCATGACCCCTAAGTTAAGCATCACCACCCTTTGTTGAAGAGAAACCAATTGTTGACAATTATCTAACATTACCAACTAGTGCTGACCATTTCTCTCTCTTCATTCTCTTGATCGGACCCATGAATGGCTGGTTCTTGTGTGAAGTAAAAATTTCCAATTTGGAAGAAAAGTAAATATGAAGGGAAGTTTCCGTGCACTACAAGAAAAATTACTTTTCGCGACTAAAATAAATTTTTTCGTCGCTGAAAGTAGTACAAATGGCGACTAAAATGGATTTAGTCGCCAAAATTGGTGACTTTTGCCGACTAAAAGAGTTTAGTAGCTGAATACAAGGCTTTTAGCGACTAAAAGGCAGTTTAGTTGCCCAATGTGAGGGTTTGAGCGACTAAAGGTTGTTTAGTAGCCAAAAGTGACAGTTTTGGGCGATTAAAATAATTTAGTAACCAAAAGTGATGGTTTTGGCGACTAAAAAACAGATTAGTCGCCGATTGTTGGTGTTTTGCCGACTAAAAACAGTTTAGTCGCTGAAAGTGAAGCTTTTTGGCTACAAAAAAAAATTAGTAGCTAAAAACAGTCCATTGCCAACTAAAATTCAGTTTAGTAGCCAAAAGGGGACGTTTTTGGCGACTAAAAACAGGTTTAGTCGCCAAAACTATTTATTTTTAGGCGAAACTTAATTTTTTTGCGACTAAATTATAATTAGTAGCCGAAAATGATAGTGGAGGGAGTGTGTTTCAAAAGGTTTGGAGTGTGGTGGTGGGATGTCTCAGGTTCGAAACCTGCGAGCAACAGGTTCAACATTTTTTTTTTAAATATGCTTTTGGCGACTAAAAGAGGTGGTCGCCAAAAGCTTCAGTATTAGCAACGAAAAAAATAGTCGGGAAATGTATAAATTAAAAAAAAATGATTTACTATTGGCGACTAAAAATTTAGTCGCCAAATGTATAATTTAAAAAAAAATAAAGGAGCTTTGGCGACGAAATTTGTGGTCGCTACAGAGTTTGTTTTTGGTGACTAAAAGTGGGTTAGTCGCCAATACCTTCCGCGACATTTTTCCAGCGACCAACATGGCGACTAAAAAATTTAGTCGGGAAAACCTCAAACCCGACTTTTGGCGACTAAAAAATCACTTTTGGCGACTAAAAATTTAGTCGCCAAAAGTGATTTTTCTTGTAGTGGTGTATTAGCCTCGTTTAGTAGAGTTGTGAGAAAATGATTATAGCTTATAGTCTAACAACTTATAACTTATAGCTGTGAATATAAGCTGATTTTTAACTTATAAATTAAGCTTCTCCTCCCCCACTCAAAGAATAAGTTGATTTTTGACTTACAAAAAGTTATAAGCTGTATTGTTAAGCTGAACCAAACACATCAAAATAGTTTAAATTAAGCTATAAGCTGAAATAAGTTGAAAATAAGCTCTACCAAACAAGGCCATTGTAATTAAAAAAAAAAAATTGCAATAATGAAATTGATGGGTACGGCCCATATAGGATAGGCCAACTCACAACTGTCTTTGACAGCTTAAACAGACATTTAGGCCTGGTTTGGTATGTGTAAAAAAAGATAAAAAGTCAAAAAGTTACTCAATAAGTTATCACTATTCACCAAAAAAATATTAAAAAATTAATTTTACACACAAAATTAAAAGTCAATATGACCGGTGATGGATCTGTGGCTATGTTTGTTAAGAAAAATTGCACAGTTGGGGTGTAATTTTAACACATTGTTGTTCGGTCCGTGGGGCCCATCACGGGTTCCGTTTTGATAATATGAACCGTTAAATGTGTAGAACTCGTCGAGTACTATATGTCTATAAAAAATCACATTGATCGGATATCGCTAATTACATGATCAAATCAGTTTTGTATAAAAAAAATGGATGGTGTTATAGTTAATGGTTGAAAAAAAACTAATCTGATCAGATAGCTATCGATATCCGATCAACGTGATTTTTTACAAGCATATAGTACTTGACGAGTTCTACACATTGAACAGTTCAGATTATCAAAATAGGACCCGTGATGGCCCCCACAGGCCGAACAGCACCGTTCAGTGTAATGCCCAAAAAGTAGCCAATTATTTCTTGGCATCAATTCAGTTGCCCAGATAGTACGGCCGTACAACTCACACTCCTAATTTTCTCCTACACACTAGTTTATACAATTTTTTAATATACATTTTTTCATAAAAAGTCAAAAAGTTAACCCAAACAATCATATTTTTTTCCTCAACTTTTTAGTCTAAAAATTCAAAAAGTACACTTATTTAGGACACCCCAAACCCCCTTAGTTAGTTACAGCCTAGTAGGCGAAACTCAATAGTAGGCCCACCAAGGAACCCACGTTGATCCAAATCCTATGACACTTAGACACCTGTTGGGTAATGAGTCGACTATGTGACAGATAAAGATCTTGCAGAGTTATTGAGCCCAGGCATCAAGCATTAAATGAGGCCGTCATAGCATTAAATGTAACGCTCCCAAAATATCATACAAATAATCCATTCCATAAGATCTATGAACATAATAAAAATGATATACTTCATTCATTAAAGTTTATATTACAACAGGTGTTACATGAATTATACATCCATAGATATTCATTCTGAATCTACAACATATAACATATGTTAATAACAACAAAATGAATGTCCTACAAGTTTACATCTTTTCAAGACATAACTTGATTACAACAAATGAGAGTCATAAGCTCTATACATATAAAGCCCTTGGCTTGAATAAATATTTAAACACAAAATAACAAAGTAGAGCTTCCAGCTCTTAAGTCCTCCCAAACTACATCCTTGAAGGGAAACATATCACCAGTACTTGAAAATGGTTTCCCAAGTAGGGTGAGCCAAAGCCCAGTAGAGATAAACTAACCTAATATATAAGATTTAACTAAAGTATAAATGCCAAGTATAATTATATTCAACATTCATGACCAACTTATATTCTTTCCAAGACCATTCAATACTGATACCTATATCTCAATCCATTTCCATCTATTCAGTTCATATTAATCCAATTAATTTTGAGTCAATTCATGAGACAAGCTCATTGTTATCTAAACAATTCGAATGAGACTACAACTCAGTGATTCACAATTCAATACAACTATTATTCAAACACTTTAATTTTGCCATTTTATGGAATTTTTATCCGAGAGAATCGAAACCCATATATATATACACAAGATTTCAAGTTTTGCCATTTTACGGAATTCTCATTCGATGGAATCAGCACTCATTTATACATAAGGTTTCGGGACTTTCACCCTAGACACTTTGGCCAACTTAATTATAAATGGAGTTCATCCCCTATCTCCTCCTAAACAATGATACATATACAATGTATTTAAAAGTATTATCATATACAATGACCATCCACAACACACTTTCAATATCTCAATCATACCATCATATTCAATGAGGTAAATTAAAATATAGGTTTCAATTCACCTAATCCACATGTAATTTCTACAACAATCATAACTATCTTCCACTGATAACCCAAAACAAATATTTCTAAACAGATATACAATCTTTTAAACAGATAATTTATCAAATTCCCATAGGTGAGTGATTTAACAAATCTAACTACACCATTCATTCATGCATCCTCCCAATTTCATATTTCCCATATCAATCTCATCATTTATACAAAGTAATTTATTTAATTCAAATTAGGGCAAATTTTTTCCTTTTCCAAATATCAACCCCTAGGCTAAATTTTATCATTTTAACCTATATAACCTCATATTCAATATATATATATTCATGGAGCCCAATATAAAACCTCTCTTTCAATTTTTGAATCCAAACCCTAACTTCACCAAAACCTTCTTAAATCCCACCACTTATACATAACAATAAATACCTAGGCTAAAAACCATATTAGTGCGTAGAATATCTTTACCTCAATAGTAGAAGCTCAAAGGAGATGATGAAGAACTTCAAAATACTCCAAATTCGATTTTGTTCGGATCAAGGGAAAGCCCACAAGATGCTCTATCTTTTTCTCAAAGGGAGCAGAGTAGAGACCTTTAGATTCTAGGGGATTTGTAGAGAGAAGTTGGGTTTTAGAGAGAGAATGAGCCATTTTAGGGTTTTGGTGAGAAAAGAGGTCAAAAAGTGATGTAAAAATTCTCTGCTGCGAACTGATATTCGCAACTTTCGCTCGAGCGAAAGAGTTGTCACTTGAACGACCAGACATAACAAGCGATCTCGCTTGAGCACAAAATACAAAGCTTCAGAAGTTTTACAGATGCTCATGTTCGCTCGAGCGTAAGAAGCCTTGCTCGAGCGAAGCACTTCACCTTCCCAGAAATTCTGCGTTTGAGAAAGAAACCTGAGGACTCTTAATTCTCGCTCGAGCA